CATATCTATTATTCTCTCGATCTTTCTACTCCAGCCACAGTGTTCTTCCATATCCTTAAATGTATCTAACCAACTCTCCTACCTTGAGGCCTCTGCTTATGCTACTCCTTCTGCCAGGAAAGCTCTTCCTCCAGATTTCCAAAGCGCCTGCTCCAGCAGCACCTTGAGGTTTTTTCACTTGGCAACTTCTCAGTGAGATATTCCCTAAACACCCTACTTAAAACTGTCACCCCCCACTCCACATACACACACATAATCCCTACTTTTTCTCTAAAGGATTATCTCACGTTTATTTTGTGTTTTATGTCTCCCCCATCAAAATGTTAGCTCCACAAGTGCAGGGATTTTTTTTTCTGTTTCTTCACCTAAAATAGTAGATATCGAATGAATATTTTAGTAAACTAATATTTTAACTCTTCCTTGGGATCACATGTGTTTTCATATGGTTGAAGATAATCAAACTGAATTTCAGGGAATCAAAAATATTTTTCTATAAAGTAGTATCTTCCCTCAAAGAGTCAGTTACACAAAATCTCAAAGGGGGATAATTACTCTTCAGACTTCCTTCTCTCTGTGTACCTATGATGCTTAATTAATGGGACATATATTTGTTCTCCTTTAATCTTCATCTTCCTGAGTCTATTTTTCTATTTAGCCTTTCTAAATCCTGTGGTTGCTCATCATCTTCCCTAATTTATCCTATTATAAACCTAATACTCTTTTGCCATCCTAAATTCTTACTACTTATTCCAAATTTCGTAGAGACTAAGCAATGAAAAACATCCTCGGTTGGCATGAGATCAGAGGCAGTGGGAATCTTCCAGCTTCTCAAGTCAGTAGGGTTATATATAAACCTTGAGTTCTAGAAAGGCTGGAAAATGGGGGTATTACTAGTCAGTCTCAGATCATAAAACATAATTCCTTGGCTTTCTCTTTTCTTCCTTGTGTTTTCATGTTGACCACAACCTGATTTCTATCCATGGCAGTATCTTTGCTTGCTGCAAGCAGATTCACCACTGCTAGATCAGAATCTTTTCCCACACCCCATCCCTCAGCCCATGTGTACTCAGGCAACTGGCCCATCTGAGTTCCTGGGTCAGTGTCAGCTGAGTCAGGGTTTCTAGAAATAGCCTTGACCATTACTGCTCCCCCTACATCTCCAGTTATTTTTTTTCAACTCCTTGGGGCTTGGAATCAACCTGGGGTCTAACGGGCCCGCCATGACTGCCCCTTAGATCTCCTTTGCTCTTAACCAGACCTGGGATTGGGCAAACTGGGGGGAAGTGTGGGATATCCTGCATGCAACTACGTTGCAGAACAACATTTATCTGCTCCATCACCATGTGGACACCTCCCCATCCTCAGTTTGAATCACATGGCCTATTTCTGCACTCTCTACTTTTAAGACTGAACTCTACAAGGTTATCTGAGTCTCTGGTACTCAGTTACCAGCCTCACTTTAACCGATTCCCCTCCCCAGAGTAATCACGTACCTAATCTATTTTCTTCCATGTACCCAAATGATAGTCACCATTCACATAGTTCCAGAACATCTGGCTATGCCACCATTTTCCTGACTACATCCTCCTTGAACTAACTGCTTTCAAGGTAACAATGGATGAGTTATGCTTATCAATATATTGAACAAATAATGTCAGAGACAGTAACAATGTTGGAAAAAACAAAACAGTGTGGGAAAATGTTCATGATAAAATGTTAATGAAACAAGTTATCAAACAGATTTCATTGTGCTTAAACAAAAAACTGAACCAGGATTGAGACAGTTTCCCACCACAGCAAGATCATCAAGTTACTTTCTAATGCTAGTATTTGCCGGGTCCCTTTTACCTGGACTCTCACCCACACACCCACCTTACCTTGGAGTGTGTCTATGTCAGTTTCTAGTTTCAACACATTCCCAGCTCCTCATAAGCTTTGGGGTAGCAAGAACACACGCACCTTATGTTCACATCTCTGTTTACCACTCACCATTTTTGCATAGTTTGGCTAAACTTATTTGCCTCAGTCTGCAAAGTGGAGCAGGAGCTGGAGAAGACAACACAAATATGTAGGTGCCAGGTAATCAATGGACAAACTCTGCAGCAAGCGAGAGAAGAAGCCAGTGAAGATGTGCTAAGAGCAAGGCAGGCTGTGGCCTCCAGGCCATGTGGGAGGTTCACCGCAGCATTTATTTCACTGTGATTTACGCACCCTATATATACAGCAGTGCTGGCTTTACCCAACTAGTCACATTAGAGACACCTGAGCTGTGAAGGAAAACTTGAATGTGCTTATGATGCCAGCGACCAAGACTATTCAACTGGCAATGTTCTCTCAGGCCTCGTTTCAAAGGAAAGAAAAACATAAATTCTGAAGGAAATGAACTAATAATGATAAGCATTTTAGTCTCCCTGTTAGCCAAACTCTATAAATACACCCCATTGTATAAAAACACTAGGCTCTTGATCCTTCTAAAATCTGAACTATTTGAGGATAAGGCCCGAGTAAACATGAACTAGGCTTTGCTTTCTTTCGGTTCAACTCCGCAAACTGCAGTTGGACCTTCCAAAATGCCAGATGGAGAAAAATAGAATATTGATTTTTCAGCTCCTTTTATTCCTCTTTTCAGTCTTTTTTCAATTTTGCTTTGCCTTTGGATTCTTTCTGCTCCCAGGTGTGTACTGTGACACCCATTTCTGATTTTAAAATGTGGCTTGAATCAACTTACCTGATTTTGTCCTGGCATTTGCCTGCCTATACAATGGGAGCCACCCATTTTCATTGACGCTGTAAGCTTCTGTCTACAAAAAGAGCTGACCTTAAATATAATGCTTGATTCCCCTGGGCACCCTATTCCCAAGGCACCACTTCTACACCTTCTGTTTGTTTACCATGGAGACAGCAGTTTATGTTTACTGTGGAACTGGGAGTATGCTGGTTAAGCTGATGCTAAGGAGAAAACACAAGCAGTTACACAAAGAAGTGGCCTTAATGAGCATCAGATGTGTGAAAATCTATGAAGCACAAGAAAATCCCAGATTCTCTCCTGAACATGTTATGAACCCATAACTAGAGAAAGATAATAGCCAGGATATAGAAATCTGGTATCAACCACACATACAGGACTGTGTGATTAACAGTTTCCAATGCCATCACTGCAGTCTAACAATATGACTCAACGGTAATTCTGTAAGCATGAGAGTGAAAAATAAAAAAGTGGGGATTTAGCCTAAGAATCTCCTTCCAGCTTGGGTGTTCTCAGATTCACTGTGAAAACAAGTCTTTCAATAAGGTAAATGTATTCTGTGAGCCTGGAGTTCCACCCCTGGTCGTTCTAGCTTAGACTAGCTGTCTTCTTCCACTTTGAAAAGGAAAATGTGGTACTCAAGAAGTTAATGCTGAAGGTGGAGGAAGATTATCGGTGTATCTGCCTCATCTGTGGCAACAACACAGCAGAGACTTGCCGCTCTGCAACACTGCAATACACTCAAGGTTGTTCCTGAGGAAAATACTTTTATTTTCACATAGGAAATTGGTGTGAGCTATGTATAGGTTTACCAGGCGCACCAACACCTTGTTGCACACATTTTTTTTTAGATTAGATATGTTGCTTTAAGAGTATCAGCAAAAGGAGACAAAAACAAAACAACAAAAAAAGGCAGCTTCATGAGTGTCTACCAGTATTATACTCAAATGTGAAATGTCTGTGTCAATTCTGCTTTCGGTCTCTAACTGCAAAAGTCAGAAAAACCACAAAATTGCTCTGCTACTTTAAGATGCAGGAATATTGGTGGGCATTCACAGTTTCCCTTTACCAGAAATCTTATTGAATATAATAGGAAAGTCGTTGAATACTACGTCTTTCTATTATATCCAGGTGATTTTCACAGTAGGCAATCTGCTAGTACACCACAGGAGTCCCACACTTTGAAATAAAACGGCATTGTGGATACAGTTTTATGTACCATCCCTTTTCAGTCCAGAGCACTCTGGTTTCTTTACTCTTGGTTGAATTGACTAGGCAATCCATAAAGAGTGAGCAAGAACAGAAAAAGCACATAATGAGGTTTTTTCGGGTCTTTATCAATAATACAATCGTGCTCTGCCAATTACTGGAGTGGTGATTGTATATCACACTTTGAAAACAAATAAAAAAAGATTTATGCATTCCTGAAGTGGTAGGCCATTTGCAACAGGGACAAAAATCAGGAAATGTAAGTGGATCCTGGCATGTTTCTCCTACACATCTGGTGCAATAATATGGTACATGAGTCACAGAAACAATTGTTCCCATCCCCCCCTCCAAATGAGCCTAATGTAAAAATCAATTCAGTAGTAAGGATATTTTGCACAAGGCATCCTATGTGCTTAATTTTCTTTAAACAAGGCATTAATAAAATCGCAGTAGCATCTAATAAGATTTTTAATTCCTTAAGGGTAGGAACCATGGCTAATCTTTAATCAGTCCAATTTAGTGGGAGCATTTAGCTCCCTTCCTGGTAGAAACAACCAACAGAATATTCCTAGCCCTACGAGATACATGTAGGTTGTATCACTGAAAGCTCCAGGATGAAAGGGAAAGTAGACTATGTTCGCTACCAGTGACTGGCCCTGGTCAATGTACCTGTATATGCTTTGAGACTGCTTTCCAGAGTTACTAACAACAGATACTGATAGCAATGGTATCAATGAATGGAACAGGAGTTTCAGAAACAAGATGCTATTTTATTACAAAATGAATTCCCATTTAAAATTACATGAACAATATGAAGAACAAACCTATAGAGCATGATGCTGAGACAATCAAGTTTAGCAACCTACTCCCGAGAGACACCAGAGCTCTGAACGCACAGTCCCTGCCATAAGATCTATGCAGGATCTATAGCCACTGAAGGAATGCATTCATAAAAAAACTTTTATGGAAAAGTTTTTCGTAAAATTTTTTGTGAAAAATCTCTTAGCTAGCAAATACAAATTTAAGATAAAGGAGTAGTACTCACAAACTCCGGGGTTCGAAAATCATTCTGACTTTCCAGTGATCCCAAATCGGGGATAATTGTCTGTCCAAGGTTTTCCAACACTAAAAACAAATGAATGAATATATAAACAAATGAAGCACGAACTTGCACTGGCTCACATAGTCCTTTACTTTTAAATCAGCAGCACCGGGTTATTAGCATTTGTAGCGCATTGACAGGTTTATATTATTTAACCCTTTCAGCTATCAAGATATTTAAAAATCTGTAGCAGCTGTTTCATCTATTGGATCTACCAGACGATGCCAGGATTGTAGAACACTAGGTCTTAAAATTCTCTAGGCAAGGTCTACCACTGAAAATTATTTAGCTGGTACACAGCAACCAAATGTTACAAAAGTCTAGCTAAGGAACCCTTTAGTATACTGATGTTCTTTGTGCTATTACACGTCAGGGTACTGCTGTGGAGTCCCTTGGTGGGTAGCAATTTTTTCTTTCTTATTTTTTTGAGACAAGGTCTCACTCTGTCACCCAGGCTGGAGTATGTGGCACAATCACAGCTCACTGAAGCCTCGACCTCCTGGGCTCAAGTGATCCTCCCACCTCAGTCTCCCAAGTAGCTGAGACCACAGGTGTGTATTACCATGCCTGGCTAATTTAAAAACATTAAAAAACTTTTTTTTTTTTTTTGGTAGAGTTGGGGTATCCCTATGTTACCCAGGCTAATCAGTCTCGAACTCCTGGCCTCAAGCGATCCTCCTGTCTCAGCCTCTCAAAGTGCTGAGATGACAGGCATGAGCTACCATGCCTGGCTATTTTAAATCTGATAGAAATATAATGGGAGCCAGATAGAATTTACTTGGAGATACATTAAAAAAAAAAAAAAAAAAAACAGGTGAAATTAATTTTAATAACATAATTTAACCCATACTACCCTAATTATCATTTGAACATGTAATCAATGTAAAAAACTATTCATAAAATATTTTACCAGTGACTATTTTATACTCACAGCACATCTCAGTTCAGACTAGGCACATTTCAAAAGCCCAATAGCCATTTGTGATTAGTGGCTACCATATTGGACAAGTGCAGTGTTAGAAGGATAGAGAACCAAATCCAGAAGGGAGGTCATTCTGCAAGATGCTATAGTTCCATCTTGTCAACAAGTTACTGACATGAATAAAACAAATTGTTCCAGGTTAACAATCATTTGCAGCATGTGGTTCTGGACTGGATCCTGGTTTAAACCAACAAGATGTAAATAACTTTCTTTTTTTTTTAACGTGGAAAAATTTGAATAGAATTTTTGCTATGTAACAATGTTCTGAATAAATGTAAAGAGATATTCTTAAATATTTAAGTAAACTAAAAGATTCAATGTTTAAGTTTAAATAAATATTCTCATTTATCAATAGGTTCAGCCTCTTTAACAAGTCAATGACATTAACAAGGGAGACCAAATTTAAAGAGCTCTAAAGGACATAACCACTAGCAATACAGGGTCCTCAATTGGATCCTAACTTGGACAAACCAGCTATAAAGGACTTATTTTTCAAAACTGGAGAGTTTGAGTATGGAATAAGTATAAAATTATAAAAAATTACTTTTGGCTGGGCATGATGACTCACACTTGTAAACCTAGCACTTTGGATGCCAAGGCAGGAGGAGTGCTTAAGCCCAGGAGTTTGAGACCAGCCTAGGCAATGTGGTGAGACATCTTTACAAAAACCTTCTTTATTAGCCGGGCGTGCTGGTTTGCACCTGTAGTCCCAGCTACTCAGGAGGCTGAGGTGGGAAGATTGCTTGAGCCTGGGAGGTTGAGGCTGCAGTGAGCTGTGATCATGCTGCTGCACTCTAGCCTTGGTGACAGAGTAAGATTCTGTCTCAAAAAGAAAAAATACATAATGCTTTTAATTTTATTGTGTGTGATTTATCTTGGCTTTGTAGTGACTTTTAAAAATGCATACTATATTTTCCCTTAATCCATTAAAAGCTTTTACAGAAGAGAAGGCTGGGTTCCTACTGATCTAGAAAAATTCAGTGACCCAAAAGAAGAAATCTCAACATACATATAGGGCAGAATCAAAAGAGATCTCTACGTGATTGCTTACAAAACCAAAGTATCAGTCAATAATTCAGCCAATTCAGTTACCAAACACTTAAGTTTGGCACCTCACTAAGAAATCTAATATTTGGATTCTTTTTTTTTTTTTTTTTTTGAGATGGAGTCTTCCTCTATTGCCCAGGCTGGAGTGCAGTGGCACAATCTGAGCTCACTGCAACCTCCACCTCCCGGGTTTAAGCAATTCCCCTGCCTTAGCCTCCCAAGTAGCTGGGACTACAGGTGCGTGCCACCACACCTGGCTAAGTTTTGTATTTTTAGTAGAGAAGGGGTTTCACCATATTGGCCAGGCTGGTCTTGAACTCCTGACCTCATTATCTGCCTGCCTCGGCCTCCCAAAGTGCTGGGATTACAGATGAGAGTCACTGTTCCTGGCCTGGATTCAATTTTAGGTTCACACAGAATCTGGGGGAAAAAATACCTCACATCTTTGTATACTTAAGAACTGAAAAGAAATGCCAGTAGAAATGACAGTACAATCAAGTGATTCTAATTCTTCTGAAAAACTGAGTTCATTAGAGGACACCCTATGTGTGAACCAAAGCAGAAACAGAAAACAGATGAGATGAGCAAAGGCTTGAAGAGCTGCAACCATTGCCAAAATTAAGGTGCTTGCCTCTGAGAACTCCTGGAGGGTTATAGTAATCACTGCATAGTCTGTTACACCAAGAGAGTTGTAACATACTAAACTGGTTATTCTAGTATAACAGTTGTCCAAGATAATTACACTCCTACAGACCATCTTTAAAACTCGCTAAAATGTGCTTATATGCTAGGCTATGATAAGTGTGTTCTAAGTTGGTGTTGGGCAGCTTGCTTTACATTTGGAAGAAAAGACCTAATCTTTTTATAGTATTAAGACAGATGTTAAAGAAATTATATCCATGGTATTTATGATATTTTGGTTTTTGGCAGAACCAGCAAACAAGGAAACATAATACTGTGGGTTGGTTTTTTTTTTTTTTTTTTTTTTTTTTTTAACACCAGTATTATAAATCTGATGGAGTGACTTGGCACCTTATCTAGATTCCTAGATGATTAGATGCCCAATTTATCTGTTATCTAAGGTCAACATACAGAGCTGCTAAAGTTGATTTTTTTTTCTTTTTTCTAAATGAAAGGACAAGCTTAAGAAAGTATACACTTTGCCTAAAGACAGAGGAGAAACAAGATTACCCAGATGTTCTATCCAATAAACGGTATCTATGGATTTGTGAAAGAAATTAGAACCATTTATAGTTTTAGTTATTCTGCTGGTAATGGAAACAAATAGATTCACTGGTTAATGTCAATACAAAGAAAAAACTGTAAATCTGAGTGAATAAAAACAGAAATGGCTTTATTGAAACATCATCTAGGTAGAACAAAGCCACAGCTATTGCTCTCGTGACCTGATAGAGTGCTGGGAAGCAAATGATTTATGAGGCCACTATGATAATTATACTCCCACTACTGAGGGGCTCTAGTTACTGTTTGATATTCTCATTTATGGTAAGCTAACACAACTGAAAAAGTTCATTTCTCAGCAAAAATAAAATAGTCAAAATCAAGGTGACTCTGAGGGCCTGTATTAAAATGAGCAGAATCAGGACAAAAGTCTAAAAAGGCAAATATGTTAATTTCATTTCTTTCCTTATATAAATCATGTTTTTCTTAACGTAATATGTTGAAATGTATTTTTAATACTGTCACTATGCCTCAGTCTTATACAGCACAAGTACTATCTTCAGTGGCATCATGATTAGTTCATTTAATTTCGGCACTTGGAACAACAGTATTCGGGACCTCTATGTTATCTGTTCATCAAAAGGCTGACTAGAAAACTAAAAACTAGTTATTCTAATATGACAAAAACCTTGGTCTTGATATGTTAGTGGGATTTTGCATGGATGCACAATGAAAGTGCAGTTCAAAATCAGGTTCAACAAACATCAAAATCTACTTTATATTTTTGCAGACACTGTTGTAAGGCCCTAGGGAAGCCAAAAAGAACCAGACAAGGTTCCGTTTTCTTGAAGAAAGAAACCTGAGACATAATTAATGTTAATTTTAGTGTCATTTCTAAGTGCCACACTAGACAGATTTATGAAGTACTGTAAGAATACTATCAACTGGATTACTATAGGTAAACATTGAATAATTGATGATTTGGGTCAAAAACAAAACACACTAAATAGCTACCTTTCCTAAATTCAATAGAATTAATTACATTAACACTTAGTGAAAAAATAAAGAGCATACTTTAAAAATTTTTATCAATGCAATTAGTACAGTGAAATTGAAGCAATAAAGTCCTTGGTGGTACCACTTCTGACTTACTTGATAGTCCAAACTGAAGGGCCCAAAAGAAATTTCTAGAGGCCCAGTCATATTAATAACACAACACTGGAAGCCTCAGCAGAAAGTTGCAGTTCACATGATTACTTGTCTACCAATTAGAAATGGAATAACTAACATCCATTGTCCCAATTGCAAAATAAAGAGAAAATCTATACAGCAAAGTTGTTTGAGACTTATATAAACTGGCCAATAAAAAGAGCCATTGTCTACAATTTTATAACTTAGACAATCCATTATCTATGAGAAAACACAAAATGATCTCAGGAAACTCATGATTAAAACCCCAAATACCTAATATGTAGTGCCCTAGGAATAAAGATAATCAGAATTAGGCATCCACAATTTATCCAACTTAGCACTAAGCATGGCAGGTGGCTGGGTCCAACAACTCATCTGTTATGGGGATTGGTTGCCATTAAAATTATCAGAGAGATAGTGAATATATACAGAGAGAGCAAGTAAAAGTATACCAGGGCCTGGCACAAAGGGCACTGGGTATAGACTAAGGGGATTGATTGGGATCAAGTTCTGATTCTGTAATTTCTTAGCTGCATGATCCCTGGCAATGCTTATTCTCAAGTTTATTTATCTAAAGCTAGTGATAACATTACTTTCTCTGGTTATCTCACAAAGTTGGGC